CGGGAGAGAGAGATCGGGAGAGGAGGTGTTAGTCCGCGACCGGGGCCAGGGCCAGATGCCTCAGAAGGAGGGGAAAGGGGGAGGGGCGGAGAGGAGGGGGACATGCCTGCTCGCTGGTGGTGGCAGCGACAATGAGTTCCTCCTCCGGGCCACCGTAGGCCAGGTCAATGACTGCGTCGTTGCTGCCGACCAGCTGTCGCGACCGGGCAAGCGTCGGGGACTCCAGAGAGTAGAAGAGCAGCGTCCGGTCGATGGTGACACCGATGACGTGACGCTTATCCGCCGAGAGGCTGAGTCGGGGGGGGGGGGGGGGGGGGGGGGGGGGGGGGGGGGGAGGGGGGGGGGGGGGGGGGGGGGGGGGGGGGGAGTCGGAGAAGGCAGGGTAAGGATCGGAAGGAGACAGGAGGCAGGCAAAGAACCGACGGTGAAGAATGACGAAGACACGGCACATACAAGGCACAGTGGAAGGCCTGGTTTGGGGAGTCCTTGGAAGACTCGCCGATGCAAGCACCGGTGTTGGCGTTCCACACGCGCACGGTTCCTCGGTCGCCGGCCGTGAAGAAAAGGATATGACCCGAGGGCAGATCGGCAGCACAACCGACCGGCACGTCGGCCGGGCTCAGCAGGGGGGTTGTGGGGGGGGGGGGGAGGGGGGAAGAAGGGAGGGGGGGGGGGGGGGGGGGAGAGCGAAGGGATGAAATGAGTGGTGAGGAGGGCGCAAAGGAAAGGGCCAGGAGGTCCGGTCGGAGCGATGCGCACCTCGAGCACGGGAATTGTCTGGAGCAGGACCTTGGCCGAGGCGGTGGACGCCCGGGAACCGGCACTCCGAGCGCGACCCTCCGCCAGAGCCAGGGACACATCCCAAAGACAAACGACCTTGTCGCGAGAGGCCGACAGAAGACGTGACCCATCGGCGGCCACACTCAGGGCCGACACCGCACTGACATGGCTCTGCAGGGAGGACACAAGGGCACGGGACTCCAGGTCCCAAAGGCAGATGACACCATCATCACCGCCGGAAGCGAGGACCCAACTGGTGAATGGGGTTGTGGGGAAGGGGGGAAGCAAGAAGGAAAGAGTCAACAGCGGAGGGCAGGAAGGGAGCATGGATGAAAGAGAGAGGGAGAGAGGGGGGGAGAGAGGGAGGGGGCGGGGGGAGGGAAGAGATGGAATCCGAAAGAGGGGAGAAGGGGAAAGGACGGAGGGAGAACATCCAAAGCGTAAGCGTACCCATCGAGCTCGCCCGACTTGAGATCGCCCTTGAGGCTGGCGGCCTGGGCAACCGAGCGAGAAGTGGCGGCGCTGCCCTCGCGCACAAACAGCAATGAGGTCACCGGACCGCGGTGGGCGCGGAAGTGGTGCGTGATGAAGCCACGCTCGAGGTCCCAAACGCGGACCGTGCCATCGGAGAAGCCGGTGGCCAGGAGGCTGTTCGAACGGTCCAAGATCATCGTCACAGCTGGGACATCATGAGCCTTGAAGGACCGAACCACGCGGCCAGACGCGGTGTCCACAATGCGGATCTGCAGGCTCCGGCTGGCCAGAATGGCCTCAGCGGCCGGGCCGGCGGCGGTGTCGCGCAACAACAGCGAGGTGATGGCTTGGGAGTCCTGCAAAGGAGAAAGCAGTGACGGAGATGTGAGAAATCCGCCGAGCGGATTGGCCAAAGGGCAGGGAGCAAATGCCAGATGCGGGCAAGCACACATGGGGGTGGGGGGGGGGCGGGGGGAAGGGGGGTACATACACCACTGAGGGAGCTGACGATGGCGCCGGTCTCCATGTTGACGAGACGCGCGCCACCAAGAGTCACATCAGACCCCTCCATGTCCTCAGCACCAGATCCACCCTCGCACAGGAGGAACTGGCCGTCAGCCGACATGGCGATGGAGCCGCCATCGTAAAAGTTTTCGATCCGCTTGGAAGGCTTGAAGCTGCGGGGAAGAAAGAAGGGGAGGGGGAGGGAGATGGAACGAGAAGCGGGCATGGGTCAGCGAACGTCCGGGAAGACGGGCTGCCGCAAAAAGGGGAGACCAAATGGAACGCACTTCTCCTTGAGGAGGATCACGGACGACATGGTTTCGTGCACGCGCGTCGGGCGGACTATGCGCGGATCCTGGGAGCCGAGAGATCTGGGGATGGGCCGGGTGGTGGGGAGGGATGAAGGGAGATGAACCGGGGGGGGGGAGGAGTGCTGGGTGGGGATCAGGCAAGAATCGATGGGCGGAGAGACGAGGAATAGGGAGGGGGGGGGGGAGTGGATTTCGGTGTCTCCTCGGAGTCCGAGACTCCGCATGGGAGGGCAGGTACCACTTGTCGCTTTTCGGGCCTGTCAGCCCGCGAGGCTGGAAGGGGCGTGGTGGGGGGGGGCGGGGGGAAGCGGGACCAGGTGCAAGCGCCTGGGCGGGGGCGCCCGCGCGCGGGCGCAGGCAGTTGGGATGTGCTTGCCCGGGGCTGGCCATGCTGCACCCGCATGCACGTGACCTGATTCACGGCATTCGGTGGCAATTCGCCGGGCGGATCGACGCCCACCACGGGCTCCCTGAGAGTTCCTTGGAGGCCGCGACGCTGGGTCTTGTTTTTGGGCCCGGGGCACGAGGTGGGGTTCAGCCAGGGGGGGGGCAGGCAAGACCCGCTCGCCTGCGTCCTGTCCCCCTTCCCCTCTCTCCCTCTCTCTCTCTCTCTCTCTCTCTCCCTCCCCCTCTTGCCCCCCTCCCCCCTCTCTTGTGTCTTTGCCTCCAGCCATCCTCCTCGCCGTTGGTCGCAAGTACAATCGCACAAACACGCATATCGCGAAAGAAAAAAAGACACAGGCATAGACCAGCCGACGAAAGCACACCACCATGCCGCCCGCCCGGCGTCCCCTCGACAGCGACTCTGACAGCGACTCTGACTCGGATGATCTTCTCCGGCAGCAGCTGAGCCAGATTGCCAACGAGGCGTCTGCATCCTTGGGACTGCCAGTCGCGGCTGCCACTCCTGCGTCACCGCGCCCGACGCCCTCCATCACCAGCCCAGCCACGCCAGCCGCGTCGGCTGCCAGCCCGGCCAGTCCGCCCGAATCGCCGGCGGCCTCGGGGCTGGCCGTCGTCGCACACACTTGCGAGCATCCGATCACCCTGAATGAGGGGGATCGAGTGCGCATCTTTCGGGACAAGATCGTCTTCTACCTGGCGGCCCCATCGCGAGGCAGCGCAGTTACTCCCGGGCAGCGCAATGGCCCCCGGGATGCGGCCGCCCTCGCCCGGCTGCGCGCCAAGCCATCCATTCGGCAGGCCATCTACGGGGCCGAGGGGGGCGATGCGCTGGATGGCGCGGACGCCGAGGCCAGCCACTCGGGATCAAGTCGGCGGCCCAATCGCGATAACATGTCTCTGCATGAGGAGCGCGAGATGAAGCGCCACCTGAGCAAGCGCTATCTGCACCTGATGGACCAGGTGTTTGGTGAGTCGCGCGTTGCGTTCGAGGCCGGCCGTGTGCTGCCGGCCGCTCCGGCCTGCCCGCCCGGTGCGCCTCCCTGCGCGACATGGCGACCAGCTATGCCTGCCCGCTCTCCGCGCCCCGTGCCTTTCCTTTTTTGCCCCACTAACGCGGCTATGCCCCCCCCCCCTTCCCCCCCCCCTCTCCCCCTCCGTCGGGATCTTGTCCGCTGGGTTCCACTCTCTCGGCCCAGTGCTGTGTGGCTTCCAGCTCCTGGCTCGTGAGGATGCCTCTCCGCCATATTGGTGCGTCCAGATCGACACACTGGCTGCTCTCTCACCCAAGCACACGCATGTATATGGCGGCCGGAAAGACTGACACCCTGCGCGCCGCCGTGTCAGCGAGGCGGCTGTCAAGCGCACCGATCGGCCTGCCGGTGCTCTGGCAGCTCCTCCGGCGTCGAAGCGCTCCAGGAAGGCCTCGACCTCGACTCCCCTGGCGACTGCCTCGAAAAAACCCGCCCCGGTGGCCATCTCCAACTTGAATTCGGACTCCGATTCGGACTCGGATGTGTCGGACTCCGAGCACCAACGCCGGCTGGCCCTGCTTGGCACGGTGGCCGTATGTGCGTCGGACATCCGCAAGAGCGCCCTTTCCCTGCAGTAGCGCGGCGTGCACAGCCGCAGTCCTCCTCCCGCGTGCCCATGAAGACGCCGAAGGGGAGGCGTCTCATGCAAATAGATCGCGCGATGCCCCCC